TCTCTGCACACGGCACACGCGCATGGTTCGGAAAACACACCTGGTAACACACACACACACACTTTGAAACTTTGACTGTGTCATCATAAACACAGGTGAGGGTATGACATCAACTCAGACAGGATACAGGTGTGTGACATCACGCAGGCATGAGGCAGGTGGACTCACAGCTTCACAGGTGTGGTTGTTGTCCACCTCTCTGAATCCACAGCAGTTTAAACTCTTCTCCACGTCTCTTTGAGTGCTCTGAGAGTTATTCCAGCCGACCTCCAACAGCTCCTCCTGCAACACACACACACACACACACACACACACACACACACACACACACACACACACACACACACACACACACACACACACACACACACACACACACACGAGGTATGAAATGTTCTGTAATAAATGCGACCTGCTGCTCCGTGTGAGCGGTGATGTGACTCAGATTAATAATTAAATTGAGTCACATTAATCAGACTGAAACAACAAAGAAGCTTCACATGAACGTCATGAGACCGAGATTTGTGTGTGTGTGTGTGTGTGTTGTGTGTGTGTGTGTGTTGTGTGTGTGTAGGATGATCCGGGATCATTTGTAACGAACATAAAGTTAATCTAAAGACGAGAACCAGGACCCAAGTCTTAACCAGGAGAGAGTAGTGAACCAGCAAATCAATCGATGAGCCGCTCAGCTTATTCACATTTGATATACATACAAAACATACAGAATACATACAGGATATATATTGTTAGGGCTGTGTAACGATGACTTTTTAAAGGCGTTTAATCGTGTGTTTAATCCCATGTTTGAAATCCCTTTATTTTTAATTTTGAGTTTTATCATGCTTTTATTTTGTTTTTTTAAATGTGTTTAGCTAAGGGTAATTTCCCCCTGTTTGGATACAAACCTGCTTTTATTTTGAAAAAAAAAATAAGAGACTTGTGGTAGACTGAGGGTTACTTAACATATATTAGGGCTGTCAGCATTAATGTGATATGGTCTGAAATTAATGCATTAATCTCATCTTATTTTGTCCCTTCAGGCTCTCCGTAGATAGTCGTCCTCAGTGTCTCCCTGTAGTCTCAGTGATGTAAAAGAAGGACACTGCTGCATCTTTGAATGTCTCATTTCACTTTAACAAACTCTCAGACAGCTCAGCTGACGAGTCCAAAGTAATATCCACCTTATGACATCACACATTGAACTTATGACATCACACATTAACCTTTGTCATCGTTCCTTTGAGCTGTCTGGCGTCAGTTTGGGATCCCTAACCACTTCCTGTTTCTGCGCTTAAGTTAATTTCTTAACCTTCCATCTACAGGATGGGCCTTACTATATTTCAAAATAAAAGCATGGTTGATTCAAACAGCAAGTAAAAAAACTCTCAGCTTAAGACAGTACAAATTTCAGAATAAAAGCCTAACAAAATCAGTTTTTAAATGTGAAATATTGAATTTCAAAAGCTGCAATTATCGTGATTAAAACTTGAAATTTAGCAAATTTCTGTAAATATGTTTTTTTCCCCCCCTGAGCTCAGGCTCACAGGATGACTGGGGCTTTCTTTGGTTTCTTTCTTGTCTTGAACTGAGGAATCATCTTACCCCACAAAGTTTATTTAGTAAATGGCAGTTCACTGTCTCCTCTAAAGGCACGATAACGACCCCATGATGGAGAGAAGCTGCTCTGGGTCAAACCGCATCTCACCTGCTGTTCTCTGTTGACGGCCAAACAGGCGCTGGAGACGGAAAACTGAACAATGAAGACCATGAAGAGGACGATCATGTACTGTGACCTGACTGTGAAGGAACAACAACACAAAAACACACACACACACACTCACACACACACACACACAATAACACTCCAATGTGTGTGAAATTGGACACTGCTCTGGATCCTGTTTCATTTCATTAATAAATTATCAGAGAACAGATTTTCCAAAACACAGAGCGGAGTGAGCTCAACATCATTAACATACATTTAATTATCACATTTTTATTTATAATGATCAGTTGAATTATTCTACACTAAAACACACACACACACACACACACACACACACACACACACACACACACACACACACACACACACACACACACACACACACACTGAAGGATACGAAGAAGAGGAGGACCTGGTGGTGCTTCATCGCCCCTATGAGTCCGGCCACAGCCACGAGGAAGAGGAACACCCCGACCCCCACAACCCCCCCGACCACCTGGAAGCTGGAGACCAGACCGAACCACATGCCCCAGACCGCGATGCCGACCAGGAGCAGACTCACCATCTGCACAAGCACACACACACACACACACACACACACACACACACACACACACACACACACACACACAAACACACGCACAAATATTCATATAATCAAAAACACACAGAGGTCTTAAACCTGATTATTTACACACTAACACTGTGAATAAATTATTGAATTCATAGTTTATCAATATGTCAAAGAGCCTCTCCTCACTCACCACATACAGGATGTTGAGCGCGCACAGACAGATTTTGGAGCACGTGAACCCGGCAGCGCCCATCTTTTAAAAAAAATCAATAAAAATCAAATCGATGAAAAAATTAAATATTTGTTTCTGACCGTGAAATCCTCGGAGTCTCGATCAGCTGATTTGTTGGTTGCTTCTGTGCGAGCTGGAAGCTGACACACGCACGAGGACTCCGGAGGTGAGGCATGACGCCTTCAAAATAAAAGTCCCAGGAGAGCCGTGTCCGTCCTGCAGGTAAAGACAGACGGAGGTAACACACAGTAACAATGTTTCAGCCTTCAAAACTCCTGTAAAAAAAAAACTTTAGTTCATCAAACTGTGTTCAGCGACATGTTTGAGGATTAATGATCAATGATTTAATAAAGAAAGTAACCATTAAAACTCTGATTTCAATAGTTTTAAATAAACTGTTTAATTAATGTTAATAAATAAAACAATAATATCAAAAACTGGGCTTTTTTCAGTGTAATAAATCAAAACATAAAACATCTTGCGATTTTATTTTGAAGGGGGGAAACCTTGAACTCCGGTGGTTGATGTGGTCATGTGTTTAATTTTGAAGCCCTTAGACCGCAGACCGTATGACTCATTGAGGGGCGGGGTCAGGGAGCTTGCAGCCCTCCGATTGGCTGCAGACAGGTCCCGTTACTTCCCTTATAAAATAGAGAGCATCACATATCATCCGGTTATTGATCAGATCTTTCATCAGATTATCAAACAGATAATTAATCACATCATTGATCAGGTTATCGGTCGTATCAGACAATTACTTTACATGCTCAGAGGTGACACTGTTAGCGCCAGCAGCTGGATATAAATGTCACACAGCTCTGGCTCAGTGGCAGAGTGGGTCATCTCTCAGCTGGAACGTCAAGGGTTCAATCCCCAGCTCCTGCAGCAACGTGTCCTTGGGCACAACACTTAACCCCAAGTTGCTCCCGCTCCTTCATCGTCGGCGTGTGAATGTGTATGAATTGGATTAGTTACCTCTGATGGACTCTTTACCCAGCAGCCTCTACCATCAGTGTGTGAATGTGTAGGTGTGACCTGCGGTGTAAAAAGCACTTTGAGTACTCAGAAGACGAGAAAAGAAACACACAAGCTCAAGTCCGTTTGCGCGTTCACTGGGAATTTTTTCCTGCCGCATTCTCGCATCAACTCACACCGCTTTTGAGCGGAAGAATTCACCTGGGTCAACTCGGGGCTGGCTGGAAAAATTCTGCATAAGTCGGAGTGAAAAGTTCAACTGTTTGCGTTCACACATGCAGCTCACCCAGGAAAAAGTCAGAAGGTTTTCAGGAGTTTTGTGCACGTGTGAAAACACCATGTGACCAGTTCACTGACAGGAAGTGGTCTTCTTATATCACTAACCCCACCCCCCTCTTCATCTGAGAGTTCACTAACAGGAAGTGGTATTTTCTTATATCATCACCCTCCCCCCTCCCCCATGTGTGGTTTACTCCAAGGCAAGCTGCTTCCCTCTGAAGTCCCTCAGTCCACCTGCTGACCTCCAGCTGCAGACCTCCACCAGGACCACATCAGACGACTACTTTAGCCCACTTTTGGACCAGCTTTGGACTGGTTTGCTGAGGATGGCGGAGGCTCAGAGAGGAGACCTGTCAGACTCGGAGAGGAGGATCCTGCAGGTCGTCTGTGAAGGTGAGTCACTTCACTGTAAAGATGCCGATACCAAACTGACTCGGTCTCATTTGTAGAGCGATAACGTGGTTTAACATTTACAGTCTGAACTCAGAGGAGACTCATTTAAACTCCTGAGGGAGCTGCCGTCCAATCAGCTTTCAGTGTTCTTTGCACCTAATGAAATGCTTTAAAAAACAAGGTTTTACCACAGTTTAACCCTTTAAAGATGAGATTAGATTAGACAGGTACATTTACCTTTCTGTGCATTCCTCCCAGAGACAGCTGTACAAAAACTAGAAGAGCAATATGAAGATAAGAGAGCAGAAAAATACAAAACACAGAAATAGAAACTGTAAGAAAAACTGTAAAAGGAAACTCTGTACAATACAATAAAATAATTATTCCTGTCCTGTGAATTAGTACATCTATTATTACACATGAGATTTTTGCACACTGATTTAAAAACAAAATGAAACAAATTTGATTTAATATTTTGGAGACATCTGCATCTCTGGGTGTATTAAACTTTATGAATACATCGGGATATCACTGCACCTTAGACACTCACTGAATGGCCGAGCTGCTAACTGAATGCTGCTTTTCTCATTTCCTCTCATCTGCTCTTTTTTTTTACTTTATTATACCTGAGATTTTTTCAGAATACTTTTAAGAACTGATCTGATCACTGAGTAGATTTTTAGGTACATTCATGTGTCTATATGTTGCATGTTTTCTGTCTTGTGGCTGAGAGAACATGTATGCAGATACATGAGAGACATAACAAATGAACAGGATCTTGAACGCAGCTCACTAATTATGAACATGCACAGAGAGCTCGCTCTATGGGTTCTGCCTGCGTATGCAGCACATCAGTGGAGACACAAATGAGATATTTCCTCGGGTATTTTCACCGACTCTGAAGAAAAAAAGTCTGTGATCGTTCAGTCAGGATGTTTACTGGATTGCTGCAACATGCTGAGTAATTAACTCATAATTTGTGACTTATTTTACTGTGAAATCATGTTGAAAATGTGAGAATCATACATGAAATTTCAGTTATATGAGGGGAATTTGTTGTTATAATTTCATGCATTTTGTGTTACATAAAGCAATATGTTCTATTTTGCATATTCATTTAATTAATCTTACTTTAATTGCAGTAATCACTGATGTAGTGCAGGGTATACACAGTGATTTTTGAGTCTCTAGAGTACACCTCTAAATCTCCCCTGATTCACACCATTTATTGATTGACTATATTGAGTAGTTTGCTGCAAGTTTTACCTCGGATGGTGAGGGGATGACCCTCCAACTCGGTCTCTAATTGATTAATTAACGTACTAACTGAATGTGCACATGTAACTGTTTATAACAGAGGACGTTCATCCTCTGCTGGACAGGTCACTCCCAACTCATACAGGGGGAAATGAAGAGTATACCACTCCACTGGCTGTAATGCAAATACGTTTAGGCCTAATGTTATTTTGGGAACATTTTTAATTAGCGACTATTTTGTTTTCCTCTGTTTTTGTTTATTCCTTGTTGTTGTTGTTGTTGTTGTTTCTCAAGTTTCATTTTGTCATTTGCATCCTCATGTTTCTCTGTTTCCCGTCTGTTTTTCTGAGTTTAGTTTTCAGTGTTTCCTGTTTTATTTTGTAGTTTATTTCCCCTGTGTATCATGTCTAGGGTTTCTTCTACCTGCCTCTGTGTGTTTCCCTCCAGGTTTGATGGACCTGTTTGTCTTCACCTGTGTCAGCGTCTGTATGACAAATTGAGCTTTTCTCTCCTTCTATTTCTCTTTAAAGTAACCTCCCTGTGAGATGAGATGAAGCCACAGTAGGCTACTATACATCTCTGCTTTCAGGCTTAAACATTTTTTTTTTTTTTTTTGCAACTTTTGAAGCCGTCATTAGCGAGACAGTAGAGAGTGACATCAGGATGTAAAGTGTCAAATGTCGAGGGTCAGTAGACGGCTGTTAGGACCGTCGTCTTGCACTCCTTGACGTTTGTTTTTCAGTTCAAACTTGAGTCACATTTGAAAGGGTTTTGTGTGTTTTTCAGGAGACGTTCAGGACGCGGCCGAGCTGCTCGCTAACAACGATGTACGGATCAACTGTCTGGACGAGGTACACAGATAGGGTGCTTTATGTTCTTCACACCAGAGTGTCTTAAATTTGTATTCTCCTGTAATGAAATAATAAACATTCAGACTGTAACCCAGAGGACCCCTCCCCTCCACGCCTTCTGCTCCTCCCACAATGCACCTCTGCTGCTGTCAGTCTGTCAGCGTGACATATGTTCTCTTTGTGATTGAAACATATGGAGACGACTCTGAGAGCTGAAGGATAAAAGAGACAAACACTTCAAGTAGCTCCCAGACGCTGACTGTCACAAACAGCTGACAGCAGCACCTGAACGCACCACAGAGAGAGAGAGGTTACTCAAGAGACACCTGCATGCACCACAGAGAGAGAGAGGTTACTCAAGAGACACCTGAATGCACCACAGAGAGAGAGAGGTTACTCAAGAGACACCTGCATGCACCACAGAGAGAGAGGTTACTTAAGAGACAAATGAATGCGCCACAGAAACATTTAAGTTGACTTACACTTGAATGCACCACAGAGAGAGAGGTTACTCAAGAGACACCTGCATGCACCACAGAGAGAGAGAGGTTACTCAAGAGACACCTGCATGCACCACAGAGAGAGAGGTTACTCAAGAGACACCTGAATGCACCACAGAGAGAGAGAGGTTACTCAAGAGACACCTGAATGCACCACAGAGAGAGAGAGGTTACTCAAGAGACAAATGAATGCACCACAGAGAGAGAGAGGTTACTCAAGAGACACCTGAATGCACCACAGAGAGAGAGAGGTTACTCAAGAGACACCTGCATGCACCACAGAGAGAGAGAGGTTACTCAAGAGACACCTGAATGCACCACAGAGAGAGAGGTTACTCAAGAGACACCTGAATGCGCCACAGAAACATTTAAGTTGACTTACACTTGAATGCACCACAGAGAGAGAGGTTACTCAAGAGACACCTGCATGCACCACAGAGAGAGAGGTTACTCAAGAGACACCTGAATGCACCACAGAGAGAGAGAGGTTACTCAAGAGACACCTGAATGCACCACAGAGAGAGAGAGGTTACTCAAGAGACAAATGAATGCACCACAGAGAGAGAGAGGTTACTCAAGAGACACCTGAATGCACCACAGAGAGAGAGAGGTTACTCAAGAGACACCTGCATGCACCCCAGAGAGAGAGAGGTTGCTCAAGAGACACCTGAATGCGCCACAGAAACATTTAAGTTGACTTACACTTGAATGCACCACTGATATATATATATATATATATATTTAATAATTTATGAACCAAAAGGCACCTAAAGACACCTGAACACACCACAGAAACACATCAGTTGACAGGCACCTGAACAAGCCACAGAGAGAGGTTTCACTAGTGACACCTGAACGTACCACGCCATGTTAAACAGCCGATG